TACAGTTGATTGTTTGAATATATGGTAAATTGAAAGTCCAAAAAATTCAAATATTTTTTTATACATATATATTATAAAAAAATTAATATACATATACATACGTATATAATTTGGTTTTCACCGAAAACCAAATTAAAGATTTTAAAAATAAAATTAAAACCAAACAACCGAAATTATTTTGGTCTTGTTTTTTTTAATAACCGATTTTAATTAAAAACCAAATCGAATTGGTGTTTTGATTTCAATTTTGGTTTGGTTAAACCGGACACCCCTCAACCTGATTCCAATTAAGGTAAAAGCTGTAAAATTGCAAATTTTTGGTCATGATTTTATTGCAATGTGATCTAGTTGAAAACGAGACCAAGGAAATACATCTAATATATTAGTTAAAATTCTTGGACGTTGGAAGGAGAATATTGGTAATGTCAATATTCAAGTTTTAATGACCATAAAAATCACCAACTCACCCCAGTATTTCAATGCTTCCATTTAATGGAAAGCAGAAAACTACCGTTCTATAAATGAAATTAAAGTAATTTATCTACTTGTTTCAGAACAGTAATGCATAATCATAATTCCCCATCTAATCTTTCATTGTGCATCAAAGAATATTTATTTTTCTTTTAATTCATTCAGTTTGGTACGTATATATAACTTCTCTTACTAATAGATCTGGGTATGAATTATGGTTTTAAGTCACCGCTCAGTCGCAGTTGAAGATCACATGTATACTGCAAATTTCAGCATTGTTAAATAAAGGTCACAATTATGGTTGTTATAGATGCATTAGTAATTCTTAAAAAATTGTAAAAATACATATTGTAATTTGTAATAGTTTTACTAAATATATAAACTCGTCAAACAAACGGTTTCAATAGTTAAAAGTCATATAAATAGCTATCAACAGAGTATAAAAAAAAATGAAGCCAAGTATTTGGAATATAAAAATTATATAAAAAACAATTTAAAAAGTGGACTGTTATTTTAAATATAACGAGTTGTTACCATTATAAAATAGTTCTATAACTATATATAACTTAATTTTGTGATATAGTGAATATCAGTAACGGATCATCCAATTAATTCCATTGAATAGCAATCGTTATTTAAAATTATGACGCAGGTTACACAGCTTCCGTGACAAACAATCACTGAACTGATCACGTACGTTGATTTCTCTCATCTTTTAAGGTTCTGACCTTGAAGGGGGTCGGGTTAATACGAGCACCAAGATAGATAATGTCTCTCAACTATTTTCTGAGCCAACCTTGCTACTTAATGAAGCAGCATAGAGCTTGGAGGTAGCCAGCAGCCAGAGACCACCAGGAGGGCATTCTTGTCTTTCACCTTGTTGATTAGCTTTTGCCGAGTCAATCGCCGACCGAACCGGTGCTCTATTCATTTGTAAGGACTATATATCTCGCATGTCCCATTTGTATCCCTTTTACGTATTTGGACGGGAATTCACGGTTTGTAAATGTTTATGTAATTAATGATAATCGTGAACAACGTTGGCATTAAGATGCATTCGTTGTATCTCCTAGTCTTGGTGCTTGGAAGAAAATTAATTAGAACAAAAACGCAGACCTATTCCGCAGGTATTGATCAAACGAGTCGTTTGAGGAGAATTGAACTGTTCATGGGGGAGGTTAGCTATTCTATATATAACTAAATAGATGCCATTCAGGCACCACCAAATTTGTTTAACCAAATTCAGTTGCAATACTAATTATAGCTCCTTGGTTTGCAGTTGATCGTATATATTTACTACCCAAGATTAAGGCTTCAGTCAGTATTAGCTGGTGGCTCAAGCAATAAAGAATTAGGTAAGATAGACGTTTCCGAGCCCGCCTTGTAGAGGGATGGATGTGTGGCATCATCATCATTATCATTTAAGGAACCTAATCTTTTTATTGATGCTATCTTCTCAACCTCTAAAATTATCAAAATGAATCAATGGAAAATAAAGAACATGCCAATAAATCTTTGTAGTGGATATTCAAAAACTGCTAGGACACAATAGTGGTTTAGCGGTAGCAAACTTGGCGTAAAAAATGATATCAAACCTAGGAGGGTGTGGGAGAGAGCAATCCTTATTATAGCCAAAATGCAAAAAGCCTTCCAATTCTTTAAATTGGCAAATGTAAATAATAATAATAATAAATAAAAAGCAATCAGCCTATTTAACTTAATAGCCTTGATGGCTAGATTTGTTGAGTTCTTTGAACACCTTTATCACCTACTTGGATGCATTTTGTACAAGATCAAGAGTGCATTTTAGGGGAAAAAATTGAATATGCATGATAAATCCATATATGTTTGCTTGTAAATTTTTAGATTTATTGAGTTCTTAAATACCTTCATTAGCTATTTGTACATATCAATAACACGTTTTAGTGAGATTGGAAAATGATTTATTCCAAAAAATTTAGGTTTAAATAAATTTTTGTCCTAAAACTGTTTGAATGCAATAAATCCACTTAGTTCCTCTAATGTAATTAGTTTGGTTCTATTTGTATTTTGCCTTTTTCTTCAATAATGAATTCCTTTTATCGTTCGTTTTTTTTTTTTTTTTTTTTTTTTGACTAGAATGGCTGCAACTCCCTAGAAAAATACAATTATATTATCTTGAGATTGGAGATTTCACAAATATTTTTTAATACAAGTCTTAAACAGTTTACAAAAGCTTTTAAAAAATGATGAATTCTGATTTTTAGAAAATGAACATAATTAGTTAATCAGTTTGCATATCTATTACCTCTACGATACATATGTCGAAGTTGAACTTCCCAAGAACTCTACAAAAATTTGCAGATATTAATTATTAATTGACTATAAGAAGATGTTAAATGATTTTTATTTATGAGAATGTATTGACAGTTTAGAATCAATTTCATCGATCTTTCTGAATCCATTGTTCCATACTAGCTTTAAACCAATCAAGATCCCTCACAATTCTACTTTCAAAACAAAATAAATGTCAATATTATAAGCAAAACCATACAGCTAATTACCTAAAAAGTTTCAAATCAATCCCCCTTGTTGAGGCCAGACCATTAATAGCAGCAACTGAATCATCTGCTTTAAGTTTCAGAAACCCATTTTAGAAAATGCCACCGAATAAGTAGTTCTTCTCTTTCTTTTTTTCGGCCATGGTAGAATTGAGTGAACTTAACACTGAATTGCAAGACATTATTTTTGTTGCATATGATTGCTGGCAGATTAGTGGATTATTTGGAAAAGAAACTTCAGGGTTAAAAATAGATTAATTCCGCGTAGCCAAAGTCTCCAACATAGCACTCCAAATCAAATATCTCATGGAATTTCTCATCCCATCGTTTTGGAGCAATTCAAGTTAATTTATAAGCAACCAGTGTTAAAAAAAATTGAAAATACGCTTACTCCATTACATCTCAACCATATCAATTGCGCCTACGAACAGTCTCTCAACGCATGTAGTTTTTTTATCGGTTCTGGAAACAAAAAATGAAGTTCCTATAATAAATTTTGATCAAATATTATATACTCTCTTATTTAATCTCTCTTACTTTTTTATCGAAAGAAAAATCTCTTTTACTTCGATGACCATCCACATGCGTCTCATATTTTAGGATTTGCACTTTCAAATTAATGCAACTAAAAACTATTAAATTAATAAAGATCAACGATCGGCGATTATTGTAACCTAGGTTAAATTCATGTGTTTAAGCATATAGGTATGATGGGATCAAAAAACTTCACTACTCTTGACAAATTTTATCTTTATTCTATTATGATTTGATAATTTTAAACTTATAGTATTAAATTATGTAATTTGAACCCTAAAATATTAAAGAGCATGCATATATAATCCAAATTGTTTCTCATAAGTTGACCGTTATTTGAAATACCAAAAAGACGTCATTTTGATATTTCGTTTTTTGTTTAAAAAAATATTTTAACCTCCTAGTCTTAAACTTAAAAAAAAAAAAAAATTTCTTGTAAAATACTATAAACATTTTATAAATTATATAAAAAACATTTTATAAATATTTTTAACCTCTTAATTTTGATCGTTTTAATTTTTTTTTAATAATCGTAAAAAAAAAACATAATTAACAATACACAATTTTAAACCTTAAAAAATATTTTATAAATTAAAATGAACATAATTAAAGTTGACCCCTTAATTTTATAAATTATATATTAAAAAGTTTTTTTTATAAAATGTTTATAATATTTTATAAAAAAATTTCAAAATTAGAGGGTTAAATTATAAATATTTTTAACCCCCTAAATTTGAACTTTTTTTTATAAAATATTATAATTTTTTATATAGTTTATAATATTTTATAAGAAAAAAAAGTTTAAGTTTAGAATGTTAAAAATATTTTAAATTGTTTTAAGAAATAATCAATAAAGGAATATTATCAAAACGACATTGTTTTGATATTCTAAAAAATCGTTTGCTGACTGAAAAATTTAAATTACATTTCTCTAATATTCAATATTTTAAAATTTAAATCGTAATTAAATGAAAGCAAAATTTATCATTAAATCTTTTCTTTAATATAGCATTACTAATGCTGCTCTTTTAAAAATAATACCGCAACTGACAAGTATAAAACTATATTATTTTAAAGAACGGTCTTAGTCCACCGGCAGTGTCATGGATATGATTATGATTAAAACAAATAGCAGGCTAATCAAAACTGCAAAAACAGCACTGAAGGCATGCATTTTGACGTGTTACTAATCCATTGGTCAACAGAAGAATCTTTTAACCGCCAGATCTCCCTAACGGAACCCGATCTTGTTTCCTGATCACCGTCAATATAATCAGGACGAGGTATAAAGGGAACGCTAAATAAACAAATCTCATCCGTTCATTAAATCAACGGCTCTCCTTCCTGTAGTACCTCCGTTTTTAACCCTCTCCAATGCACTCTCTCTCCCCTTCACTCTTCAAAACCAGAACCAACACACACAAAAACACAAAATTAAAGTAAAAATAAAAAAAAATGGGAGAGAGCGCGAGAAATATTAAGCGAATAGCAGAAACTGAAATTATAGAATCTTCAATCACAAGTTTCTCAAAGAAAACGAAATTTGATTTTGATTTTGAAGAGTTTAGCTTACCTTCGTTGAATGTCAAGCTCCAAGCTCATCGTTGCACCAATATGTCACCGGAGAAATTGATTTCACCGGCAACTTCATCGAGCTCTGGTGGCTTAATAACAGGAAATTCCAGCTGTGGCGACTCTTCAGTTTCCTGCTGCTCCAGCAATGAGTCGGTCAAGGTTGTGAAGGATAGCTTGACGATTTTAGATCTGGAGGTGAATTTGAAATTCAAAACTTAGAACATGAGCTAAATTTTGGTTATATTTTGTTTCTGTTTGGTCGCAGAAAAAATAGCGGAAAATAACAAGGTTTAGAGATGCTTTTCAAGTCTTCATGCGATCGAGTTTAAATTTTTCTCAGTTTGCATAAATTTTCCTTTGTTTTCTCAGTAAACAAACTGAACCATTCGTTCAAAAAATTTCATGGAATTTAAGTCTTGCAGTTTGTTGCTGTTGGTTTGTGATAAACCAAAGGAAAGTGAATAAATCAAGCGAGTGAAGTTTTTCTCAGTCCAAACAGATTTTTCTTACTAAACAAACAAAAGACATTCAGAATTTTTGATGTGATTTGATCTTTCAAAATTATTGAAGTTTCGTTTGTTCGTGGTCCATGCATTTGTCTTTATTCTTCAAATTTAAGTTTCTATTGTTTAAATTAAAAATATCTAAACATTAATTAGTAGTAATAATTATGAAATTTTATTTATATTTGCAGCCGAAGAGTGCTTCCGAAACAGAAAGCTCGACGTGCATTGACAGGAAATTCAGGTTCAAAATTTATATTTCTCACTTTCGCTTCATTAATTAATATTCCGTTATGATCTCCGCAAACGAAACCGTTTTCAACCTCTTCATTTCTCCAATATTTAAATCACCCTTGCTTTGCTGTAGAGAAACCACTCCTTCAAGCGAGTTTCACGGCAACGGCGACCACTTGGACTCACCTGCAACTATGGGGAAGAAGGGAAATCCTCACCGGAGAAATTCACCGGCGGTGAAAATTCCGAGTCAGGCGGAGATCGATGCATTTTTCGCGGGGGCAGAGAAAGAGGAGCAGAAAAGATTTGCAGAGAAGTAAGTAGTAGTACTGTACAGTGCAGTTACCTTTTATTTGGTGTGCGTAGGATAAGGAGGGTGGATAGTGAGAGTATTTTAGCATGGAGAGAATGGAAGAGTAACTAACTAACAAACTTGTATTCGAAATTTGTAGGTACAACTATGATGTTGTGAAGGATTTGCCAATGGAGGGTCGATACCAGTGGATTTGTTTGAAGCCACAGAGGAAAATAGAGAATTGATAGAGTTACAAGGGTAGCATGCATCTGGCATGTGCCTATTTATTTGCCAAATTTAGGGACGGTTCTTTAGTTTGTTATTGTACAGTGTTTTTTTTTGGAGGTTTCTCTTTATTTATATGATATAAGAAGCCAGCTCTATTAATGTTATTCTGTAGGGTTAATATTATTATTTAGTGATCTGAAGGAGGTTCTTTGAATAAAATTTCCAAAAATTTGAGCTAGTTAGTGTGGGTACAGTAGCAAGATCTGTCAGTTATTTTAATTTTGGACTGTTTGTTCATTTAATGGGGAAGGAGATGGCAGGGATTTGCAGGCATGAAGCATTCTGGCATTGATGGATTTTATTTTGTTTTTGCATCGGAAAAAAGTGTTTTTTGTTCGAGATTTGGCTTGGCTGTTTATGGGTGTTTTTTTCAGGTTGCGTTTTTGCAGATAACCCTTTTTTAACGTTACTTTTCTTTTCCTTTTCTGCTTAATTTGGAATATTCTCTTAAAGATCAGGTCATGATGGTTTCTCCCGGCAAATATGTATCATTGGAATAATATGGATGGGTGCGTCTTGTGTTATGTGTGTGTATTTGAATGGGTGGTGTAGGGACGATTTGATAAGAAGTACTACTGTAAGTTTTTAAATGCCAACAAGTGGAAAAGAGCACAAAGGGTTTCTTTAAAAGTTTCGTGACTTTGTATAACCTTTCCTTTATTGAAATCATTTCAATTGAAATTTCTCAGCAATGATACCTAACAGTCTTGTATTGTGTTGAGATATGCAAATCATGATTATTAGAGAAGATTTTCTCTCTCTCTCTGTTTTTTTTTTAGTCATAAGTATTTATAGATGTGCTTGTGTATTAATCGAAACTAATACATTCTCTTTACGAATATTTTACGAGTTAATCTCTATATCGACCTAGTTGAGATGAGTTGAGAATTAAGAAAATAGCCAAAAGATGAACTCATTATCTATGATGCAGGTTTTATTATTTAAGGTCGTATAGATCAATATATAGAAGGCCTTGGTGCAAATCTCGCTAACATATTGCATTCTAGACTATGCAGTGGCCATGTTCTTTTGTATTTTGGTAATGTGTACCGGCTAAGTTAGTTATCTATAATTTGTCAGAAGGTGCGAAAGTACTAAAATTGAGTGTGAAATTGTTAAATTTGGGGGTTTACCGTAGTATACTAATTAATTATTTTTTGTTTCGTGGTGAAACATGCGTCTGGGGATCTGATACGTTGTGATATATTGTCCCTCGGAGAGCTGACATTTTTGGCTGTATTGTACTGGGCAGAGCATAACAGATTTTTCTTGCTCATAAAACCAGCTTGACGGGATAGGAGTCCTCATAACTGTTTAAAAGCAGACATAGCACCTTCCCGTAGACGGGTAAAAGTTAGATAACTGAGCAAAGAGCAGAGGATAACAAAGGGCAAAGCTTGGTGATGGAGGAAACAAAAGAAAGTAGACTGGTACATTGCACATTGGCTGACTGGCATTGACAATGACATACATATACGTGGCAAAATTATAGCGAACCAACCTCACTAGGCCCTTTACCCAATTGGGTTTTTCTAAGTACAAGAAGTTTGAATGTACCAAACATGTTTATAAAATTGGAAAAAGATGATTGAAAGAAAGAGGCTTGCACGTGCAGTGGTGTCATGGATGCCTTGTATAGCTTGGTGGCTGGCTTTGGATCTGATGAACCATTAATTTAATTGCAATTTGTAATCAACAACAGTAATGGTCCTCGTGGAGGGTGGTGGTGGGGTACAGAATGTTGCTTACTAATGAGAAAGAGGTCTCTTTCGATTTTGATGTTTCTTACAGTTTCTCTGTTTACGAAACTGATTATGATGCTCACAAAGAAGAATTACTTGTGCTTTGCTTTGCTGTGCTTTGTTCGAGGCTGTTAATTTTATAAAGTTCAAACCTTATAGTATAATTATACTCTTTCTTTAAGGGAAAGGTGAGGAAGTGACAATTTTACTAGTCCGTTTTCTTTTCATCGTTATGAATTTGTCATCATTTTGGTCAACAATAAAAATGCATCCCCTTCACTCTATCAAGCGTATCCTCTTTTTTCTTTTTTCTTTTTTCTTTTTTAATTTCCAATATCAATCTATTGAAAATAGAATATCTTCTTGTAAACAAATTAAAGAGTAACAAATGTATTCGATCATCTTTATACGTATCTTTTTGGTACGTTGAGAAAGATTCCTCGCTCTCTCTCCCTCCCCCATGTATTTGTCTATCCTCATTTTTTTTAACTAATCCAAAATTTTAATTGATGTGTCAGCATCAGTAGCCTCAGATTTATCTTCGTTATTCTGTACTTACAAATTATATAATCTCAAACTATGTCCTCGTTCTCACAAAAATTTTATGGGTTTTATACTGTTTATATTGATTAGTTTATTAATCATAAATCATAGCCTTTTTTTAGGAATTAATAATTTTCTTTTTAATAAATTTACCAACTTTTGGTTTTTTTTCCTTAACTAAAGGTGGGTTTGAATTTATCTATCAATATTGGCATATATATATATATATATTGTAATATTAGTATCGTATTCGAGGTGTAATAGTCAATCCATTTTTTTTTAATGAATTTATAATTTCATACATAGTTATAGAATTAAGAAGCTGACAATAATTGGGTCAATCTATTAGATAACATTAGTTTTTTTTACCCGCGCTACGCTACGGAGTTAAATAAAATATATAAAATTATTTATAAAAATTATTTCAGTTTGATAGTCTATTTTATGGTGTGAATCTATAAAAATATATGAAATCAAAGATAAAAAAAATTTAATTATAATTTTTTAATAAAAAATTTGTATTTAACTATTTCTTATTTGTGTTTTTCATAATTTTTCCTTTAGAAAAAAGATTTATCATTTTTAATATATGGATTATTAACTAAAAAGAAAATTGAATAATTTTTTTTAAAAAGCTTTAGTATTTTATAAGATTGTGTCCAAAAACATAAATAATAATTATTAAAATCTTACATAGAATTGAACAAATTATTTTTTTATTTAATGCCGATAAGAATATCGGTTTTTGAAAAAATATGAATTTAATTTTTATACATTTATTTACAAAAGAATGAATAATATGAAAATAAAAAACTATATTAATTTGAATCATTGAGTGGTTAAGCCAAAATATAATTTTAATTATTTAGTTTAAAATAAGTTAATTTTAAAATATTCAAAAATAAATAAATAAATAGTAAATGCTTAGTGTAATAATAGTTGCATAGTTAATTTCTAAAAAAATAATCATTCAATATTTTTTTATACATCATAACTATACTAAGTGAGTTTAGAGTTTTCAATTTAAAGCAAAAAGCATTATAGAAAAAGTTAACTTGCAAGGAATCTATTGACTAAATTTAAAGTCAATAGACTAAAATAAAAATGTTTACAAATTAGAAACAAATGAATAAAACATGTGAATTCTTTTTTTCCTCCTTCTTAAATATGTATTTTTATTTTTATTTTTATGCTATTCATGGCTAGCCCATGAATACGAGCCTCACGCTGTAGAGCAATCATCTTCTTTTTGTTTTTCATATTTTACTTTCAACTATTAATTAATTAATTTGAGTTTTTTTCTAAAAAAACCAAGAAAAAATAATTTAAAATACACTTTTAATATAAAAATGTATTTTATACAAATAATATATATTAATCATGCCATTATAATTTAAAAGTTACCTAAATCTATTTTTCAAAGAAAAACTAATCATATTCTAAAAATTTATTCCAAAATCCATACATATAGAAAAATAAATCAAAACTATCAGTAAATATAATTCTAAATTAATTGTACAAGAATTTAAGAAAATGAAAAATTAAAGTAATAAATTTTAAATAATAAAAATAATTAAAAAAATACTAAAACAAAATGGGATCAAATCATAATATAATCAAAGTTTGAAATTGAAAAAAAAAAGAATTTTAAAAATTGACAAATTAATGTAGTAAAATTTAAATAATATAAAAAATCGAGAATAAATTATTTAAAATACACTTTTAATCCGAAAATGTATTTCAGAAAAAATTATATATATTAACCATGCCACTATAATTTAAAAATTATCTAAATCTATATTTCAAAAGAAAAAAAATTATATTCTAAGAATTTATTTCAAAATCTATACATATAAAAAAATAAATCAAAACTGTCAATATATATAATTTTAAATTAATTGAATGAGAATTTAAAAAAAGAAAGACAAATTATAGTAGTAAATTTTAAATAATAAAAATAATTAACAAAAAAAACTAAAATAAAATGGACCAAATCACAATATAATTAAATTTTGAAATTAAAAAAATTACAAATTATGGTAGTAAATTTTAAATAATATCAAAAAAATCAACAAAAAATTATTTGAAATACTTTTTTTAATCTAAAAATGTATTTGAAAAAAAATTATATATATTAATCATGCCACTATAATTTAAAAGTTACCTAAATCTATTTTTCAAAAGAAAAAATAATCATGTTCTAAAAATTTATTTCAAAATCTATACATATAGAAAAATAAATCAAAACTGTCAAGCAAAAATATAATTTTAAATTAATCGAATGAGAATTTAAAAAAAAAAAACAAATTAAAGTAGTAAATTTTAAATAATAAAAATAATTAACAAAAAATACTAAAATAAAATAGGATCAAATTACAATATAATTAAAGTTTGAAATTGAAAAAAAAATAGAATTGTTTTTTTTAAAAAAAAGATAAATTAAAGTAGTAAATTTTAAATAATAAAAATAAGTAACAAATTAAAGTTTAAAATTGAAAAAAAGAAAAAGAAAAAATTAAATTAGTAAATTTTAAATAATAAAAATAATTAAAAAAAACTAAAACAAAATGGGACCAAATCACAATAGAATTAAAGTTTGAAATTGAAAAAAATAAAATAAAAAAGTTGAGGACTAAAGTATTACAAAAGTGACATGAATAAAGAAAGGAAAAATGATTTGTGAGTGTTTAAATAGTATTTCAAATAGTAATATGAATAGTAAAATATGATTTTATTTTAATTTTTTTAATAATGCCCCCATATATCCTTTGATTAGACATGTCAAAAACCTCATAACAATTTTATTTTTATATACTAACATTATCCTTCTTTGCAAGTTGAAAATTGAAGATAAGATTGTTTAAATTTTTACTGGGCAATGCCTTTCCACAGCCTTCAGTTTCAACTTGAACTATTAGCGGTATGGCATCTACCTTAAAATCCAAAATAATATATATAATTCTGCAACCTAAATTACATTTTACAGATTATATTTTCAGTAAGACGACTTGAAAGAAATGCACCTCTGCACGTTTTAATTTTCAAATGAACAACATTGAGATTAAAAAATAAATAAATAATTGTTAAACTAAATTCTGATGCCTTGCATCGGAAGAGTAAAATTATTGATTATTTCCCTTCATATAAAACATTGCCTTTCCTCTTCTTTTTGCTTGCCAATTACATTTTTAGTTTTGGTATACCGTTACTATTTGCTTCTTTTCCCTCTTCAATCTGAAGTATGGTTTTCAGAGTCTCCCTACAAATGGGCGGCCAAGTTAAAACGGACTTGCTACCTCATCATGGGCTGGCTTCCCAGGCTTGTGAGCTTGTGTCTCCCATGTAAACCGCAGGAGATCAGCCGTTGGCTAATTGACCCGTTAAAAAAACGAGGGAGAATCTGAATCTCCGCGACTGGTTCCATTTATTGGTGAGACTTCAAAGCATCTATTGAAATGGTCACGTGATGACCTAAAACCAAATACTATAAAATTTTGTGTTACCCATTCATGCGTACAACAAATTTTTTTAATCGAAGTGGATGTTATAGTCATGCTTTCCAACTTCGACAATGATGTTACAAGGAAAAATAGAAAAACAGAAAAACGTTTTGGATTTCTTTTTCATTGTTAATCCCTCGATCTGCTTTGATGCAGTAAGAATAATTCTTAAATTTATTTTTATATTTATAATTAAATTAATTTTATTTTTAAATATATATATTTGGTATCTAATCTATTATTTTGATAAATTTTTTTGACTATATTATTTTAGTTAAACAATTTATATATAAAAGTTTTTTATTTAACTTATTTATAAAGATATTTTGAAAATAAAAATTAATCACATGAATAATTTCAGTGATATAATCTGAAGATCTTAATAAAAAATAAATTAAAAAATTAACTTATACTTAAAAATAAAATTATAATTATATATTAAAAAATTATCTTATTAGATAATGATAGTTTGAAATTTCTGACAAGAAAGCAATGTTCTTTTCTTAATTTTTATGAGAAAAATGACTCATCTCCTCCTTGTAATTTTTTAGATAAACCAAATTTTTATTATTGAAAATAACTTGAGCCCAAAAGGAAAATAACACAAAACTTAGATGATGAGAGAGACGCCTTTCCCGTGCACACCAGCCGGTCCAACCAAAAACTGTAATTGGATGTGTATATTGTTGACTTTCAGCTGCTCCTCCAAACTAACTGAGAGGATTGTCACAATGCCAGGCCCAGGAACAGCAGAAAACTTCAAATACGAGGATTCAAACATTAGGTTCCACGAACTTTGTTTTGTAGCTCATTGAAAAGCTGAATGTAACATCCTGCATCAAAATTGAAAGAAATTTTATAATATTTAAGAAGTAATTAAGGATATATATAATAATTATTTTATAAATTTATTTTGAAAAAAAAAGATAAATACATAAAAAGAAAAGAGAAAATTAAAAAAAATTAAACAAACGGTAAAAATCTTTTTATCACTTGTGGTGAATCTAGATGTAATTCTCTTTTCTCAAAATAGGTCTACAGAATAATAACTGTATATCGCCATTAGTTATTCCTTAAGTATTTTACAATTTATCGAAAATTGATTTGAAAATATTAATTTATTGTAAAATATATTGAAAAAATAAATAAAGGAAGAAAATAACCTCTAACCAACTCTCACACGACACCGTTTAGTCAATGGATGAATTGCCGGATGGTGGCAAACTTATCTCTTCTCTATCCGGAGGAGGCTCGTGTCGTTGAATCTGACGTGGCTAAAAAATTAAGAAATAATGATAGTGGAAAAAAATTGAAAGGTTCACTATCATTCACCACTTAAAAGCCAAGAAATAATAATAATTTCAGCTGAAAATCACAATCCACACACGATCCTTTCGTTTTCATTTTCTTTCTTAGATTTCAATTCCTTAGCTAAGAATTCATTTCTTCACTACAGAGAAGAGGAAAAGAAGTCTCGAGGAATTTGAAGAGGCAGCAGTAATGTTTGGTGTTGGTGGCGGTGGTGGTAGTGTTTATTGGGGAAGGAAAGAAAGTGAATCCAAAGGAATTGTGGTGATATTCGCATGGATTTCGATTCACGAGAAACATTTGAAGAGTTACTTGGATTTGTATTCTTCTCTTGGTTGGAATTCCCTCGTTTCTCATGCCGATTTCCTCTCCGCGTAAATCTTTCTTTCTTTCCACTGTTTGGTTCCTGAGAAATTTAAATTTTGATTTTTTTTTTATTATTTTATACTTTCTTATTGATTATCTAGTGACAAAATTAGCTAAGGTTTGCTGAATTTTAGTGAAATAAATACCTAAATAGTGTCGTATTGTTTTTTTTTTTTTTTAATTGTTGTAATATTTAAGAGTTAGTTAATGGCCAAACAGAGCATTTAGGGCCTCCCAATCAACTTGATAATGTCCGATCATGTGCAGATTCTAGTTTTGATTTCTGAAATTTGATTCAATTTTAGAAAGAAAAAAACGAACATGTGGATTTTTGGTTAGATTGTGAAAGAAGATTTGGTATTAGAGAGAAATGATTGGCTATATATTGTTAAATGGGAATGAGTATAGGCAATTTTATTTTATGGATGTCTTTTTGTGTAAAATGATTGAAGGAATAAACTTAATCATCTCTTTTTTATATAGTCAGTTGCTTCAAACCCAAATGCAAAGATAACGAAGATTGATTGTTTTCTTTATGATGTTGAACTTGATTTGCGTTTGTTGCTGGCTAATGAGGAAATTTTCTACAGATTTTATCCTGAAAGGGCTTTGTCGCTGGCATATGTTCTCCTCCATGAGCTTGTTGAGGTCAGTTACAAAAACTTTTACTAATTATCAATTGTTTTGTTACATTTTGATCGTTATCGAAAAGTATTTTATTTTGGAATTCCAATGAGCTAGAAGGGCTATGTTTCTGTGGGTGCCCATATTGGTCAAAATTATGCCAATAAAATCATGCATCCACTTATCCATGATGTGGGATCTCATAAAAACAACTTACTTGCATCTACTGTGATGGCAATGAGATAAAACTATCATTTATTAGCTTGAATCTTTTTATGTTTTTCACGATGCATAAAGTAATTACCTAATGTTTTTGGTATGCAGGATCTAAGGGTTAGGCCATGTCCAGTTGTATTTGTTGCCTTCTCTGGTGGTCCAAAAGCTTGCATGTACAAGGTTTTTCAGGTAATTTTAGTGAAATCTTAGAATGCTATTGGTACAATTTTGTTTTCCTTTCTCTTGCCCTGGCGGTAGAAGTAATTTTATCATACTTAATGCGTCAATGCAGATTATTCAAGGAACATGTGAAGGTCATCTTAATCTGGTGTGTCGCAGTTCTTCTATTTCAGAAAACTTACTCACTCATATGATATATCTTTTCACTTTCTTAGTTGTATTTAATTGAAAGTTTTTAATTTCCTGTCTATTTGTTTCATTTTGTGAAGGATGAAAGTCGATTGGTTAAGAATTGCATTTCTGGGCATATCTATGACTCGAGCCCAATAGATTTTACAAGTGATTTGGGTGCCCAATTTGCTCTACACCCTGCAATTCAAAGAATGCCTGGTCCATCAAAATTTGTGTCCTTGGTTGCAAAAGGTATTGCTTCTGGACTGGATGGTTTATACCTAACAAGGTTTGAATCCCAACGTGCTGAGTATTGGCAGACTCTGTACTCTTCAATTGTAAGTTCTAACTGGCCAGCAGCTTCCCTAAAGTTGTCTTTCTTTCTCAATCAGTAAATTTAACCTCCTCTCTTCCGTAGGACATGGGTGCTCCATATCTAATTTTATGCTCAGAGAATGATGACCTTGCACCTTATATTGTTATCTCCAAATTTGCTCAACATATACAAGATCTAGGGGGAGATGTCAAGCTTGTAAAGTGGAACCATTCACCTCATATAGGTTTGTTCAAGACCCCTTCTTTTGTATTTTGTTAATACATTTTTATGTGGTTTTTGAATACTTTTAATGGTTAAATTGCTTTATGTCATACAAGTGTCTTGTATGCGTTTTGTTTTGATTAGGAGCCACTATGGTAGTTAAGTAATTTACACCAAAAGTCTAATTTGCTTGTAAGCGCATGAGTTGAATACCTTCCCTTTTGTTGATATTGATAGGTCAAATACTTGAAAGTTGAGTATTGACCTTTCTTTTTCTTTTTTGCTTTTTGCACTATTGAACCTTATTAGTTTGATGAGTGGTAGCCATCATACCTATTTGGTGGTTGCAGCTAATGCTGAGCAATGAAAATTTTGTTTTGTTCCTTTGCATATTAGCTCTATATTAGGGGCATGGATCCGGTTAATATAGGCATTTACACTGATTGGCCTTTAGTCCACTGGTCTCTGTTAGTGTCTTCCTGTATAAAGCAGGAGGTGGTGGGTTCAACTCTCAGTGAGAAAGTTGAGCTTCTAAATAATAATCATCATCTTTGTTGCATCTTGTTTCCTTTTGCATGCAGCATGTGCAAGGAGATTTAATCTCAGAAAAGCTGTGTCTTTATGTTAACTGGCCATGAGAATGAGAAAGAGAACTAAGGATAAAAGTTATACAGCATAAATCCAATTAGGTTGACAAGTTATTGGACTGCTTTTGTCGCTCGGAATTTAGTTCGTCTCTTACTTCTTGGTGTTCCATTGCAGCATGTCCTTTTACATGTTAAAACTGAACTAATTTCATGTCGTGGCATTTCAGGTCATTACAAGCACAATCCAATCCAGTACAGGGCTGCAGTGACCAATTTGCTTGACAAGGCACCTTCAATCTATTATCGAAGAATTCAACAACTCAGAGAGAGAATTGGCTTGGACAGTATGCATGATGGGATTTCTGAATTAATATGTGACCTCCAGAAAGCTGCCGTTAGCTCAAACCAAAGCTTAAGAAGAGTTGCTGTTGAGCCAGGTGACCACTTCTTTGTGCCCAGTGCAGCTGAATATTACAATAGTAGAGAGTCAGAAACCCTCCAGGATGAAAGGAAAGAAAGATCAGTTTGTCTGCCCAACCCTCCCAGTATTAGTGCTCACAGTGTACTTGGCCAAGTCCTCTTTGATGCATGTGTTCCGAAGAATGTTGAAGGTTGGGATATTAGATTTTCTGGTTCTCTAAATGGGCAGCCAATTGCTTCTGCTCAGAGGAGACGCTCACCTTTTCATGGTATCAAATTCACTCGTCGCTCGAGATTATGATGCTGTCCTGGTTGGACTTGGTGCAACCCTGCTACTGGCTTTACACGCATCCTTCAAAAGTTTGTGGGAGATTTTGACAAGCAATCCTAACGCTGTAGAAGTAACTCCACAACCAAGCAATGAAGTTGAGGTCTTCTGTGGGACAACTGGGTTAGATTTCCTTGCTCTAGGTTCTGAGCCATTCCTTTGGCATGATAGTGTACAGGTAGAACTAATGTAATATTATGTGTATAGAGGAGTGCTTGTTTAACAGAGCTGTTTTGATATGTATTGCTGTGAAATTTTAACGGATGATCAGATAGTCTATGATGCTGGTGAGAAGAAAACAAAGGAAAATGTATGGTTGTATTATCGTTTAAGGCGAGGCTTCTGTTCATTAAACTTTCTGTTATGTGACCTGTGATTTGACGAGGAGCTAGCAGCACAAGATGTAAATAGTAGTTTATGTATAAACTCTATGGTACCATGGTTCTAGAGCTAATTGTTATAATAGAAAATGTATGTGCAATAAGTTATTATGATACAGGCAGGAGTTTGTTATCTGAGCAGTGTGGTTTGTACTCTGGTTCTCTTGTTTTTGTTTGCTTTATTGCTTTCCGCACATTTACGTTCCCGAGTTGCTGCCAAGGCTGCCCAAGTCATAAACTACATGCTTAGCAAAGAATTCAAACGAACTGTGATCCGGCCATTGGTTTTAGGTTTTGGTTGTTTGCAGATCTGAGTTGGCAGTTTATGAAAGTGATTATGAACAGGCTGGAGCAATACATCATCATTCTGTATCTGGGTAATGCTAATGAATGTCTACGGAAATTTAACCCACAATTGCGGCTCCAGTGGCAAAACAACCAACGAAGGCTGGTACTGGCTTGAATCTTGGGCCTTTCTAGTGAACCTGGACTTGGCAAGTAGGCTGGTACTGGCTAAGCTTCAATCTTGGACGGGCAATCTTCGTTGGATAAGGTGTTTTTTTTTTACCAAATCTTTGTTGAATAATGATACTGAAAAAATGTTCTTTTCTCCCATCCGGGTTTGGTTTGATTGAGAAAAAAAAAAAAAAAGCAAAGAAAACTCTTGGGTCTAACTCTCCGTCGATTTTGGAATCCTTAATTTTTCTCAATTTTTTTTTTGATTTCTCACAAGTCATCGAAATTTCATTTGAGAAAATATGTATCACCATACGACTAAAATAGAAAAAATCCAAAAGCTTTGGATGTAAATTTATCTTATTTTCTCATTTCCATTTAGTATTGATATATTATGGTTGAAATTTACAATTTCCACCATGGCCAACCATCGTTTAAAAAATCATTAAGCATTAAATGTAATTTTTGCCTTATTAGAATAATCATTATATATGTATCCTAAGTAATTTACATGTATGTAGTATGATAAACAAGATTGAACTGAATATGATAAGACGAATTACAAAATATTTGGTATATTTATTAAATAAGTCGGAACAAAGCTGTGTTATGTTCGAATTCACGTTTTACATAATCGTTGTTTTATTTAAAATTTTTTTAAAGATAAACTTCTTGTCTCATCACGAGGATAGAACAAACTTATCCAATACCATGAATAAAATCATTATTTTTTATTTTTATATTATCTATTATTTTTTTATCAGTCATTTATATTTTAGTTTAATTGACTAAAGGTTAAACAAGTTTACCTATATTTTATTAAAAGGAATAATTATATGTAGAGGCTTAATTGAAAGAAAATCAAATTCAGAGACTGGATTGCATATATTAAAACAATTAGAGAACTAAAAATTTTCATTAAGGAATAAAATGTCTTGAAAATAAAATATATAGACTAAAATAAATTGTCGAAAAATTTTAGATACTAAAATAAATTTTACAAAAACTTCATTTATTCTTATCATGTACACCGTGCGAAACGCGGAACAAAAATATGTAATTTTCTAGTCTAGTCTAATCCGGTCTAATCTCATCTATTATTTACTCCATTCAAATGTAATTTTATTCGTGCTGTCATGTGATCCAGCACATGGAATACACCCTTCTAGTCTCTTTAATTGCGAACCGGAGATTGATGAAATTCTAAAGAATCGATTGAATATTAGGGACAAAGGTTTGCCGATTCACACATCCATTTTAGCTTCCCTTATTATTAGCAGATTGAGATTCCACGATAGTTCTTCCATTGCTATTTATAAACTTACGAAGACCTCTTTTTTATGCTCGTGTTTGCTATTTACAAAAGACTGTAGATTTTTGACTGACTTATAATGCAAACTTGATTCCACTTATACTCTTTCCTATACATAGTTTTTCTTCCAATTACCAACGCTCACAAGTGTTTCATATTTATAATGCAACGTTTCCATAGAGAATTTGACATTATTTTGTAGTTAGAAACTATACGCTTCGAGTTAAAAGAAAGATTTGAAATAAGAGATTCATTATACTTTAAAGTATAACTATTGGAAAAAACACATTTAGTGAGGGTTTAAACTATTACTAAATAAAAAAAAAATCATGATTAATAATAATTAACGATGGTTTAAAATGTCAAAAAAAACCTTCTCGCTAAATATTATGCGACAATTTATTATAAACCGTCATTAATTTAATGAAACTTAATTCGTCGTTAAACAACTATAAAATCGTTGCTTAATAGTGTTTAGAAGTTGCAAATTTAACGACAATTTTATACAATCGTCGCTAATTATTTTTATTTTTAATTTTTCACAAATGCTGCTGCTAATTATGAATGCTATCAAATATTAATGCCTCCAATCTTTACTGGCAAGATCCTCAATGTTGTTGCAAATTAAGGATGATACAATTCTTCTCAATTTTGGTTCATTTTTCTTCACGTGCAGATCACTTGTGGGCTTTGGGAGAGTGGAAAAGCATCTTGAAAAACTCATCTATAGCTTTCTCTTTTGGGTGACTTGATGGCTCAGCCTGTGGAGACAGTTCGCTTAAAAGGAGTCATTAAAAGATTGACTTTACAAAAATCATAACAAGGGCATTGCACTCACTTGTTAACAAGGAGATTGGGACCCTTTTGGAGAAACAATCTGGAATTCCATTGCTATCGCAAGAGAATAAATTATTCAGGGACCAATTAATGGTTGGTAACTGGGATTTAAGTGTGGAAACGTTGAATGCGATCAGGCATTTGGACCGATCAACCCTGACTTAGGAAGAGCTACCACTGTAGCACTATTCATGGAGAAGAGGATTGAATGGAGGAGGAAAAGTAAATGAGAAAAAGAAGAAGAAAATGGAGGAGAAAAGGGGAATAGATGGAGGGGAAGGAAAAAAGAAGAGAGAAAGGAAATTTGGAGGCAGTTGCTGCCGTGAATGGAGGGGAAATGGGGAAGGTGGAGCTGTTGGAAAAGAAGAAGAAGAAAAGAAGATGAAGAAATGGGAAAAAATTTCGGACAATACCTATTTAGCGATGGTTTTGAATCGTCATTAAAACTTATTTTTTTCAAAATTTTTGTTTCCATCCATGATAACAAATTAGCAATGATTTTTAAAAACCGTCATCCATATTGATGTTTAGCGATGATTTTTAACAAAAAAAAACCGTTTTTAAAACCCTATATTTTCTGGATTGTTAGCTTAAGGATTTTTGCAACTATTAGTTACAAATCGTTGCTAAATTCACTTGAAAAAAGAGTTTTTAGTGATAGTTTTCAAAAAATCGTCACTAAAAATCATCCAATTGGACTAAATCTACGATGGTTTTTAAACTGTTGCTAAAAACCAATACTCAACAAAAAAATTAGCTAGAGATTGCTGAAAACTGTAGCTAATTCATGGTTTTAGCAATGGATATAAAAGCCATTGCTAAAAACGTGTCCCTAAATGTGTTTTTTTCGACGATGTATATTATACATAGAAAGATCAAGCTTGTACAACGTATCTTAAAAGTTTTGATTTTTGACCTTATCATGTTTTTTTTTTAATACCTTTTTAACATCAAGTTATAATTTTTTACCATATTATTTTTGGTAATCGATCCATTTTGAGTTGAAGTAGTTTTAAGTTTTTTAATTCTAGTATATTTTCTTGAGTTTATGATTCTTCAATGGTCAGGTTTTACAAAGCTACATCAACCATGTATGACTACGACATCATACTGAAAGCTCTTTTTCTAACATAAATGCTTTATGTCTATCATTATACACAATAATTTTAGAGTTGAGCAATCCACTTTGTAGAGGGAAAGAGAGGGAGCAAGTTGGCCACGGAGCTACTTAATTCTTGGGTTTGTTTTCGTTATGAGGTTATAAGATAAAGAGATGAAGAGGAAATTAACTGTTAATAATGTTTACTAAAAATATATGGAAAATGTAATGTTGTTGAAAGCATTTGGTAGAATTTATTTATTTATCAAATAAAAGAAGGTGTTTGGTATGGTAGAATAAAAAGTTGCGTGGAAGTAATTCTAATTAAGTATTGAAATAAACAATAACATCTCTTTCGATTATTCTATGTTCAATGGAAACCCTCTTCCATCTACCATTTAGGAATGTCCTTCTACAAGATATACTACCTTGGATATAGATGAAGCAATATGAGTATTAAAAAAAAAGGATTTAGGACTGATGATAGTTGACAGAGCTGCTGCTAATTAATACAATTTAATTCTGATTTTTCTCTCTAGTTATAATATATAAAAAATAGGATTATATATAAAAACATTGATAGCTAATTCTAAACTGAAAATCTTGCTTCACAACAAGCTCTAAAGTCTAGGAAAAAAAAAAAAACTTTGACTCAATTACAATGTACACTAAAAAATACAAATTATTTTTTAACACTTTCTCTTAATTTATAATTTATATTTTGTTTGAATGGTTGAAATTTCTTTAAACATCCTACTTTTGTGAGAACATATAATGGATGATCATTTATATTAATGAAGTTAGAAGTGTTCACTTGTTCGATGAAAATGAAATAACTGAATCGAATTGCACCAAAATATCAATTTTAGTGCAGTTTTTTTAGAAATTTAAAAAAGATCAAACCAAAATAATTTTGGTGTTTGCACTCGGGGTTCAATTTTTTTTTAAAAATTCATTTAAACCAAAAAACCAATTATATATATATATAAGAGTCGGATCACTCACCGCACCCATTATTCTCAAATTGAAAAACCCTTCTTTCTCATATACACTTCCTCTCATAGCTTTTTTCGTGCTCTCTCCGTCCGTGCTACAAGTTTGGATGTACAAAAAATAGTGAAGGTTTTAGTAGATTTTCTATCGTTTCAAATTCGAACCTTCTTGCGTGGATAATTTATTATTTATTTATTTATCAATGCCTTCATTATTTTTTTTGGACACAACTTAGTTTCCTAGCAAGTAGTCCACAATGTAGAAAAGAAACTCACTTTAAAGAGAAATTTTAAGAACTTTAATAAAATCAGCCATTTGTAGAAAAAAAAAATAAAACGGGTAAAAATCGAATTACCAAACACCAAAATAGAAATATTTCAAAACCGAATAACATTTCGATTCGATTTCGGTTATTTTTTTTAAAAAAATTGACTAATCGAAAATCGCTCGAAATATTTCAAAATCGAACCGAATAACTGAATGAACACTCCTAGTTAAAGTCTAAGTAAAGCTCTTTCATGTTACTCATATCACGAATGAAATGACGGTGTAATCAATGTACTTTGATTTTGCATGAAACATAAGATTTTTTTATCGAGCATGGCAATGGCTGATATATATATATATATATATATATATATATATATATATATATATATATATATATATATATATTATAACATAGAATAGCAGTAAGCTTTGAAAACTTATGTTGTAAATAAAAAAGAATTCACCTTAACCAAATTGCTTTATAATCAACTTCAATAGCTTATGAAAACTTAACCTTTGAGAATTTTTCCCAAATTGGAGAGAACTCCCTTGTCATATAGGGTTTCATGAGTGCAGTTGTGTTAAAAAATGATAAAAAAATAAAATAAAATGGATTATGGTCCTTTAAGAAAAGAAGGCATATTTCATTTTTAAAGGTTGAAAATTAAGAGTTCACTTGCACGTATAAGTTATATAAATTGTTATATAGTACGTGATTTTAACAAACCAACCATTAATTATCAATTAGATATTTCCAATGTAAGATTACGTATACTAAATTTTAACTTAATCAGATGTCGAAGGGTTCTACTTTTAAATCGTAAAAATATTAGTCATATTTTGAGTTAAATCCTGATTTTTTAATTCTATATAGATAAACAACTTACAATTATCCAGTTGAATTGAGATTTGACATGTGACTATATGAACAATTAATTAAATCTATTGATGATTGGTTCTAAGTCGAAATAAATAATAATTTTACGTTCAATGGAAAAGGTTTTCCATTCACCATTTAAGGATATTGTGTTGGATATAACGGAAGCACAGTGGATAAAAAAGAAAGATTTATGACTATAAATAAGACTTGGTAGAGCTACTGCTCAATACCATTTTATTATGATTTTTCTTTCTAGTTACAATATAGAAGAATAAGTCTCTATTTAAGAACATCGATAGCCAATTCTAGATTGAGAAATTAAGAGTCACAACAAGTTTAAAAGGCTAGAGAATACAAAAAAGACATTTGGCACAATTACTACGAAAATTGCAAATTACTTTTTAACACTCCATCTTAATTTATAATTTTTTTAAAAAATTTTTTGATTGCCGAAACTTTTCTAAATATACTGCTTTGGTGAGAACATTTGGTCGCGGTTGATTATTTGTATTGTCAAAATCCAAGTAAAGCTCCTTCTTGTTAATCATGTCATTAACGAAATAATTATGCAATTCAATGTATTTTGATTTTGTACGAAACATAAAGTTTTTTTTTTGTCATGTGACATTGATCACATAAAATGGCAATAGACTCTGAAAGTTTTTGCTGTAAATTAGAAAGAATTTGTATCAATCAAATTACTTCCCAAGCGGCTTCATAACTTTTGAGAATTTTTCCATTTTGAAGAGAAGTCCCTTGCTATATCAGGTTCCATGAGTGCACTTGTGTTAAAAAATGACAAAAAGTGGATTGTAGTCCCTTAAAAACGGTATATTTTATTTTTAAAAGTTGAAAATTGAGGGTACACACACATGTTTAAATTATATGAAATTGTTATGTAGTTAGGTAATTTTTATAGATTTTGATTTTAACAAATCAACCATTAAATATTAATTACAAACTTCTAATGTAAGATTATATATGCCAAGTTTCAACTTAATTAAATGCTGAACGATGATATTTAAAAATATCAATTATATTTTGAGTTAAATTTTTATTTCTAAAAGTTAGATAGGTAAACAACTTATAATTATTCAATTGAATTGAAATTTAACATATGACTCTACGAACACGACTCGGACTAACTTAGCTACGAACTAAAAAAATGTAAAAAATCAAATTCTGAGTTGAATAAAATGATAAACGACAAGTATTGATTGGATCAACAATTGGTGCAAGTAAAAGAAAGGAAAAGTGGGCAATGAGTTCTATAAATTAAGATAGAAAAAAACACAAAAGACAAGCTTTTCCTCTCTTGAGATTTCTTCCATTGACATTTCCTTGCATAGAGCATGCCTTAAAATGTCCTAAACAAAAGTTAGATGTTACCTTAAGTTCAATTCAAACACCACTTAAGAATATAAGAATTAATAGAGCGAGGAAGTGAGCAAAATTTATTGGACCGGTGGAAGCAGTAAATAGAATTTTGCTACTAAAAGAAACAAATTGAAGATTCATTTCCAATTCCACCCTTGTAGTGTTGCCTAAAAATGGAGCACAACTCTGATAAAGAGTGAGCAATATCCAGGCACCTTCATCCTTGCCAACCTCCCCCTGGCTCCTAGCTAACCTCACCGAAAAAGTGAGAATTTTGTGCAAAAGGTGATAAGGGTTGGTCAACGAAAGAATGAGAAGCAAATTAAAAAAAAAAAAAAACAATGGGTTAGTGTTCATTGCACCGTTTGATATACTTTTCATCCATGTTTATTTTTACTATTTATCAAGATTCAAACACACTATTAATTTAATATGTAGTGATTTTTTGTAATTTTCAAATATTTTAAATATATTTATTATGAAAGTTTTTATAATACTACACTTTAATCTCTTTTTTTAAAACATTGTTTTTTTAGTATGTAAATA